AAATATTTGAGTTGCACTCATTCAGCAGCTGGGAAAAGCGAGGGGAGGTGGAGAATGGAAATGGACACTTTCTCGAGGAGCACACTTAATTGATTGCTTTTCAGCTTGAGCTCCACTGCTCCAGAGGGTTGGCTCTGCGTAATTGATATTTAATTAAAGCGCAGCTCTACTTCCAAGTACTTGCCAACTCATGAGTGTCGTCCTGCAGGGGAAAGTGGGGAGAATGGGAAGACGAGTGAGTCCTTGCAACCGAAGAGACATTGAGCGTGAGTAATGGCAGCAGTCATGGCAAGCAGGAAAGTGAGCTAGTAAGAAATTCAAGGAGACTTCAGGAAATTGCAAAAATAGGAAATTAAATCAACTAGCCAATGGCGGATATTTCCAGATTTTACTGCCCTGGCAGCCGGAGAAGAAGCCATTCAGTTCAAGTAGTTTAAGGCAATCAACTTGTGCTTAAATCATAATAAAAGGGATTCAATTTAAAATTACGAGAGCGAAACAATTAAATTGCTCAATCAGAGATGGAATATTTCTTCCCAAATTGATAATTAATGAAAGCAAAAACGATTGAAATTGAAAGAATTTATTAAAAAATAATGCTTGACAAATTCAAAGAGATATCTAACTATAAACCCATGAAAAACTTCATTTAAATATAAACATTCTTAATAGAATTCTAATTCTAATTCAAGCTTATAAAACTTTTACTTCCAAACAAAACCAACTGTGGCAAACATACCTCAACTAATTCGAAATAATTTCAACAAATCCCTCTTTGTCTGAAACAAAATCCACACTTGAGGAAATGCCCGCCACTTGGAAAACACACAACACAAAAACTATGTCAAAGTGAAAATGGTGGAGAATGGAAGCCAGTAGGAGAAATAAAATAGAAAATAAAAATAGAAACTGAAACCAAAAACACTCCAATTGCAGCAAATCAAGCCGAACGAAAGAACAACTTTGTGTGTGTGTATATGCCACTTGAAACTTTTCCGGCTTTCCCGCAGACAAGGTGAGGTAGTTGTAGTTGTAGTAGGCAGTTAGCCAGTTGGCCAGGTCCTCGAGCCCGTCTGCTGCTGTTTTTTTTCTTTCTCTCCTGGCCATAATTATAAATCAACTAGCTGAGTGCGCCCCACCTGCTCCTGCTGCTGCTGCTTACTCCCAACTAACTAATCCACTCAGGCCCAAAGCCAAAGGCAGCATTAAAAGCCTGCCGCCCTCGACATTTCCCATTTTGCCACCGGCAACGGCGGCGACCCACTTGCAACAAGTTGGGTGGGGCTCTGGCTCTGGCCGGGCATATTGCCACAGTTAGTTGACTCACTTTCACTCGAAGGGCGTCACAGAACCAAAACTGAAACAGAAAACAGGACAACACTGAGGGAAAACTAAAGGGACTTCTTAGGATAACATCTTTTAAAGCATAAAGAACATTATTTATTAGTTAATTGCAATGTAAGCAATATTTCAGTCACTCCATTTTATACCCAACTCAAACCGTAACGTTTCTTGCAGTGCACAAGATAGTGAGTGGTGGAAAAGTGGAAATGCGACCCGAGTCAGGGCATTTCCCCTGTGTATGACATCAGCTATAATTTCCATTACGAGGCGAGCGCTGAAAATTGTACACCAGGGAGCTTATTAAGCACGCTTTCCCCTTCCGTCTTTTGGTAATGTGCAAATGAAATGAAATAAAAATGTCAGAGCGGGCAGGGTTCTTCAGAATGCCAGTGAATGAAAAAAAAATTAAATAAAGAAGAAAAACTGATAAGGGGGTTACCAGAAATACCAGAGAAAGCCAACAGAAACTTGGTCAGGATTTTCCATAATTTCACTACTGACTTGCTTTTCCTACTCTCTTCTACTTGTTGCCAATTTTCCCTTTCTCTCTCTCCATTTCTGCCCCATAATTCCCATAATACCCCGTGCCCTGAGTAATGTTAGCCTTAGGACAATAACTCGAGTGTGTCATGTGCGGATCGTAAATTTGCCACTGACCCAGCCATTTGCATAAATCACAGGGTATTGCAGTGACTGTGACTGGGGAGGAATGTAGACTTATAGCGCCATTAAAATCGCATCCAAGCTTTATAATGAGTTTTGGTCACACTGACCAAGCACTGCCGTTTTGGGATTTATGCAGAATGGGAAATAGTTAGGATGATGAAAATGCAATGAAATCAAGGAATCAGACAAATCTAATTTCTAAAATTATGTTGGGAATATAGAACAAGTTGAAAAGAATGTTCACAATTATAGTCAAGCATATGAGAATACTATAATATATAATTACAAGCTGTTGACTAAGTTCCCTTCAGTATTTAGGGGTAGATTTCGCTCTTACGTCACTCGGCAACTAAATCAAAGCGTTGCATACCTTACGGCGTGAAATTACATAATTTCCCCCTCCCCCCTTTTGTTGGTGCGCTCTCTGCTCTGCTCTGCCCTGCCCTTCTCCCATTTCACGCACTTTCCCTTTGTTTTCAATTTCGTTTTAATAATCGTAAAGAGAACCGAGAAGAAAAGAAGTGGGCAACTGGGGATGAGAGGACTTTGGGGAACCATGGCAACCGATGGCTCAGATTTCAACGCTTATTTGGCTTCTGATTATTATTTCATGCTCGTGGCTGGCAGTCGTCCTGAATCCTGAAGTCCCGACGAACCCCGAGTGCTGTTCTCACGCATCACGCGCCCAAAAGCATGCAGGCCATGATATTTGCTTTTTATCGCCTTCGCCACATTTCCACATTTTCCCCCCAGTCGCGTGGAAAAACCTCCTCCTCGCCCGCTCCCTTCATGTTCCCTTTCCGAAAAGTTTTGCGTGTTATTATTATTTTACTTTGCCATCTTTTTCTGCCACGTTTCGGTTTTATTTGCCCTTTTTGTTCAGCTTCTCCCCTGCACCATTCATCAATAATTCACATTGATTTCTTTCTCTCTGGCTCGTGCACTCGCCTTAATGTTAATGGCATCCCAGTTGGCTTCCATTTCCTTCCATTTCGCTTTGTTTACCGCCTCCCTCCCCCCCCCCCACTCTGCCCCCCATCCTTTGCAATTTTTCGCAGTGTAAACAATTGACAAGGAGACTCTATCGCGGGAGTCCTGTCTTTCAAAGGAGGGGGCGTGCCGCAGTGCCATTGAAGCCATTATGCACATACACATACAGGGATATAGTAGTATTATTATGCCCCGCATGTACAGTTATACCCGTGTTACAGGTGTGCGAGACTCCTAGGGGGGACTCTGAGAATTTATGCCAAAGAACGACCTGCATTTAAATTTCCAAGGGAATATTCCCAATTCGCTGGAATTCCAAGGGAAAAGCCACTAATTCTCGGGCGTAACATCAAAGCGAATGAAAAGTGTGTGTGTGGTGTGTGTAGAAGGGGGATGATAAAGGATTTTAAATTGAAAAAACTGGGAATTAAAGAAAGCTGAAAATTATAGTTAATATTTTAAATTATAACAAGAAAGTTAATTAAATTCGGAAAGTTTAAATACCCTTGCAGTTTTTAATTGATTTATTGGATAGAATCGAAAATCGATCATAACTAAGAGTAAAATAATATTCTTTTTTATCCATATTTTTATATGACAATTTCATATACAAACTAATGCTTAAAAAACTCATAACTCCGTCAATAACGCATTCATTTTGATTCGGAAACCATTACTATGTTAGTTTTTATTTGGTTAATAAATCTGCATATTCAATTTACAATCTTAAAAAAAACAATTTTTGGTAAATTTTTGACAATTTTAACGATGTAACCCCTTATAAAAATTTCAAGATTTTGAAAAAATAATAAAAATAAATATATAATTCTATAAACTGGAGTATTAAATATAAAAAGATTGATTATATGACAAAAGGATTTGAATGGTTAAAATTTGACCCAAAAATATGTTCAGGTTTTAAACAAGTTCTGCGAATGTTGTAAAATACCCAAGTTATTTAATTAAAAATACAACCTTTTGTTCTTTGAAATCATCAGCATTATTTGCATTGTTTTGTATACCTGAAAATTAGTTCTACATGCATTCACTGCACAATCTGTAAAGCCAATTTTAAAGCACTTTCACGTTACTTTTAACTTTTTTTCAAACGATGATTCTTTATCGAGTTGGATAGTTGGATTTTAACCTTTTTAAAATGTTGTTTGCCTGTGTTTGGCTGTGTTGCTCCTGGCGATGATATGGCCACACTACATGCAGCAAACAAGGCATAAAACAGGACGAAACGGAAAGGAGAGCTGGCTGAAGGACGAGAAGGAAGCAGCAGCAGCAGCCGGAAAAAACAGTGAAACACAACACTCAGTCATGCGTTTTTCCGTATGGCTTGCTCCTTGTTATTCTACTCTCTTTTCTGCATACTCCTTCACAAATATATCTCTTTATATATATCCAACCATTCCCGTGTGTGTGCGAAAGTATCGCATGCTGATTTGATTGGATTTGATTTAATTTTCCAATTGAAAACACTTTATCATGTTACACGTGTGTGTTGTGTGTGTTGTGGGTGTGCTAGAACAACACAGCAGCCGCCCAGGAGCTCCGTTGATCTGTTGATAAATCCTTATGGCAACGGGGCGGTTACTTGATATGACGAATAGTCACAGCGCCCTATTAAGCGGCGACGAAGGTTTCACGTAAGCCAAAGAGAAATCCGCTGGGGTCGTATCCTGGCAACAACAACAACAACATCAGTTACGCAGGATAAATAGGGGATTTATTGGCAGGAAAAATGATTTAAAAAAGAAAAATCAGAGTAAAGCACAAGGGAGTTATGTTAAATACATGAGATTGGCTTGCGGCGATTTATCAGTTATCCCTTACGAAGGCTTATACAACCATTTTGTACTGCTCAGCAATGTTAACTAATTAAAAATTATATTTAATTAATGATGATATTTCATTTATGATTGAAGCAACTCGAGGTACTTACAGGACTTAAATAAGGATAATAAACTAACCAAATGTTCCTCTTCACCTTGCAGCAACTGTTCCGCTCACAGAATCCTGGCCTTGCTGCTGTTGCCACAAATGCGGCTGCCGTGGCAGCTGCCGCTGCAGCGGCCACATCCGCAGCAAGCGCTGCGGCAGCTGTGGGCGCTCCGCCCGTTCCTGGTGCACCCAATGGGACGCTGCAACAGTCGCAACAGCAGCAGCAACAACAGCAGCAACAGATGCAAATGGCTGCTGCGTCGCAGCAGTTTCTGGCCGCACAGCAGCAGGCGCAGCAGAATGCCGCCTACGCCGCCCAACAGGCCACGCCCTATGTCATCAATCCGGGCCAGGAGGCTGCCCCGTACATGGGCATGATTACCGCCGCCCAGATGCCGCAATACTACGGCGTGGCGCCCTGGGGCATGTATCCGGGCAATCTGATCCCGCAGCAGGGAACGCAGCCGCGACGCCCCCTCACACCCTCGCAGCAGGGTGCCGAGAATCAGCCCTACCAGGTGAGTTGAGATGGCCAGGTGCAAGTAACCCACCCCCCAGTCCCACTCCCAGTCCCAGTCCCAGTTTCAGTGTGTCTTTTCCTTGCTTCCGTTTTGTACAAAACAGGGTGTACATAAGGTGTAAATAAGAGAGACAAACATTAAAAGGATCTAACAGTAGGGTTCACATAAATAGAGCTACTAAATAATATGCTAACTAAAACGTAATAGGAAGTCGAAGTCTGTATACCCTTGAAGGAATTTTAATTTTCAAACCATCATAACTAGGCCAAAAGTGCATTAATTTTAATTCGGAAAACTTTCCTATGTGCGTTTTTGTTAGGGTAATAAATCTGCATACTTCATGTAAAATTTTAAAAATTTCAATTTTTGTCAATTTTTGACAATTTTAATGATGTAACCCCTTATGAAATTTTCAAAAAATGCATAACTTTTTGTATACATGTTTTTTTACCTAGATCGACTCGGCTGTTAATGCTGATCAAGAATATATATGGTTTATAGGGGCGGAAATGACTCCATCACTTCATAGCAAACTTATACCCCTTTACAGGGTATAAAAAAAGAAAGTTCTTCAAAAATTGTAATGGAAATGTTAGAAAGTTCTGTGGAATATATGTACATATGATATAATTTGTACTATATTTATCCGTTATTAGATTATTAAAATATATTATGTACATTTTGTTAGATTCGATTATTGTAATTATTCGAAATAAGCTTTTAAAGCTTCAATTATTATTAAACTATGAATAACAAGTAAGCAAGTAGTATATTTGTAAATTAAAATGAAAATCTCAAAAGAATAATAATGTAAATCAGCTTTTTTCGTTCAATAGCCGTAAACGGAAACTTATCCCTGCCAAAATTGTATATTTATGCTCTGTCTCTCTTCTCTCTCTCTCTCTTTTTTGTACTCACTTCATCAACAACACGTTGTTCCATAACAAACCAACAAAACAACAACCAAAATCTAACCCTGTACAAATCGAAACCAAAATCGTGTAAAATATCGTGCCGTGCCGCAGGTGATTCCGGCCTTCCTCGATCACACAGGGTCCTTGCTGATGGGAGGACCCCGCACCGGTACACCCATGCGCCTGGTTAGCCCCGCCCCCGTTCTGGTACCGCCGGGCGCCGCCCGTGCCGGTCCCCCGCCCCGCAAGGACCGCAGCTCTATCAGCCACAGCCGCAGACGGCGCAGCAGAATCTGTATTCTCAACAAAATGGTTCCAGTGTCGGAGGTAAGTCCAATATTCCTCATAACACTGCAAAACAATAGAGCGAAATGAGTGATTTCTATAAATCTAAAAAGAAATATAATCTAAGTAAATCATTGTTCCTAAAAAGTGACATTGGAATGGTGTAAAATCAGGCCACATGGCGTATGAGTGATTTTTGTGGCAATATATTTAAAATCATTTTACTAGAGTAACAAAAAAGAAACGAAAATAAAGATAAGATAAACTTGGCCCACATGGCGTATGAGTAATATTCATTACAATTCCCTTAAAACCGGCCACATGGCGTATGAGTGATATTTGTATAGAAAAGTCATCAGCATTTTCTCTCTATATATTTAATTATGTTACTTATTCAAAAGTATATTTGAATGTTTTAATTAAGTTTATGCTTAAATGTTAATTTCGGAGCAAACCAAATTGTATTATATTTGCATAACAATTAATTCTAATTCAACAACAGCTCAGCAGTAGTCCTTAGCCTTAGAATTTACAATTAAATTTAATTTATAATCAAATTGGAAATTCTTCTTATTAATTCATTTGTTCATTAGTTCTACAAAGTCTCTCATTTCGCTCAGTGTTCTCAGCAGTATCACAAATTGTAATTAGTGTAAAGTGTGGCATATCTTCATCAACATCAATTGACGAACCCCGTACGCTCCCTGTACAGCCTGTAAATCTGTATAGCCATAAATCTCCGTTTATCTAACAATTCCCTTTGTATTAGAAGGATCTTCGGCTCGTAAACAGTAATTTTCGAGCCTGTAAAATGTCTTCGAATATGTGTCTGAACAACAATAATAACAATAATAATAATAATAGAACAAAAGGTGAGGGTAGCCTTGTCAGCTCTCTCTTCAGTCTTCATAATAATACTAGAACAATTTATAAAATCAAATTATCATTTAGATTTTCCATTACCAAGTGAGGCATATCAGTTGCTGGAATAAACTAAAGGAAACTAATATTTTCCTGTGGTTTTTGTTAAGCTCTAATTCTATTAAATAAATAATAGAGCCATAATTTAAACATGCAAAACAACATGCTTGAAATATTAAGAGTTGCATTATATTCCCAAAGCAAACATATTGAGAGCTCCCCAAGTATCAATTACAGGGCATACATGCATTTAGCATTAGTTGCTAGTACTCAGAATGCGAATGCATTGCACATGATGATGATGATGATGATGATGATGATGACGGGGGAAAAGCCATGAAAACCAACTGTTTGTGTCAGTAAATTCAGCTGCTTTCCATACGTACATATGTACATCCATACCATACATATCTAATGCACAGAAGAGCCATCGAGAAGAAGTAAACTAACAACTATTGCATGCCAGCACGCAAAATGTTATTATTGCCAGCAAAGGCAACTTCAACTGCAAAACTCCTACTGACACATGCAATTTTAAATGTAACGCGATGAGTTTTGGGAGGCGAATTTTCCAGCAGGGAAAATGTTTCACATTGCAATGTGGAAAAGGAGCGAAAACTTTGAGAGAGTTGTGTCTCGGTTTATGCAGGGAAATATGTTGATGATATGAATATATAATTATAAACAGTGTTTTGTCTTGGTATTTTATATAAACTAAAGTTGAAACTTATTATTTCATTTAGAATAGTATATAATTATAAAACTCTTTTTACAAATACAAATCTAATCATAATTTATGGTTTATGATTAGTTAAATTCTGGAACTCAAGCACTGCATAATCTATTTACTTGGAACATATGCTCTAAACAAAGTCAAATAGTTTGAAATAGCTGCAGGGGCCAAACGAAATTATCATTGTTGTTGCGATTCCCCACTCTGGCATTGTTGTAAATTTATAGAATTGCAAACTATAATTAATAATAGCAATAACATCAGCAGCAGCAGCAGCAGTCGTCAGGCAATGAAAGTTTACACTTTGTGCTAAAACTGTCTGCAACAAACAATAACTACAATTTTGTATCCTTGCACCTATTTTCGGGTCAAGTGAGAATATAAACGAAATAAACTTAAATTGCCGCTTAAAGTGCACTCAGTCTGGAGTTTACAGACTTCGGAAAGCTGGACAGCTCCATTAACTCCATTAACAATCAGGCGAAATCAATTATTACGCTTTCCACCTACCGCTTTTTATTTTCCGACCGCATGCAAAAGCGCTCTTTCCATTAACGAATTTCCCGGGATAAGGCGCCAGTGTGAGTGAGAGTGAGAAAAAGAGTTGTTCAGGGAGCGCACTGGCATTATTATGTCGTTAATTCATTTTGCCTCATATGGCAGTTTAATGAAGTTTCCAGTTTTTTCCCTCCACGGCCCACATGACGTATGAGTGATTACGTATTTCAATTCTTTTTTTCCCCCTCTCTTTGTTGTGCCTTTATGCCACTGAAATTGTTTTTCACGTTGCATTTTTTTAAAGGCATCGCTCGCTTGGCTCGTAAAGAGTCCTCGAGTTAAGTAATTCAGATTTGGTTTCGAACACGAGTGGAAATTCAATCGAAACCAAATCCAATTCGCTTTTGAGACGCAAGTCAAGCCCTGACATGCTTTTGCGTGGAAAACTAGTAAACTGCGAGGATGATGATGCAGGTGATTAGGCTAAGGGTCTCTCGAGGAGTGTGCCACATGTGCACAGAGGAGCCACGCCTACGCTGTATGTGCCACTCTGCGTATTTGGACTTGCACTGAGCGGAAATTAGGTCAAGTTTAACCATAAATTCGAGATACTTTTTTAAATAAACACCAATTTATTTGATTTTAATCCATTAAATAGTGCTCGAATTTATCTTCATTTAAAACAGTTGAGTCAGGGATTATTTGGGACCATTTCCGGCAGTGTAACAACCATTCCGCTTGCACATTCGCATCTCAATTACAATTAGCACATGGCACCCACAGTTTGTCCTCCGCTGGCACAAATCCCCACTAACAAGTGCAGCTGGCAGATGGCATCGTTCTCGTCCTCATCCTCATCTCGTCCTCATCCTCATCCTCATCCTCATGAGCAGAAGCAGCAAACCCACTCATTATGTTGTGCAATCGATGCCGTACAGTGAACACATCCCTCTAACTACTATCCGTCTGGCTGTCTGTCTGTTCGTCGTGTGCAATGTCAAAAAGGCTTTTTAATGGAGATTATATTGTTTTAAGTGGCTGGCTGACTGAAGGAGAACAACGGGTGGCAGCAAGCAGCAGGCAGCAGGGGATCCCCCTTCTGTGTCACACAGACAAGCTGCAATTACAAACGTTAATGCGCCTTGGCCTGCCCTGGCCCGAGAAGGGAGGGGGGATGGAAAAGCTGCTTGACTTTGCAACCGCCAAACCCATTTTGGCCATTGCCTTGAAAACAATGAGGGTAGCAGCAAAGCACACAGCACGGGAGCAGCAGAAGCAGCGGGAGCCACATCACCCTCCCTTTTTTCCAGGCTAAATTATTATGTACACCTTTCGCATGTTGGCAACATGTGATTGCATCAGAAACAGGGTTCCGAGTACAGGTTGCAGGATGCAGGATGCAATCTGGAGGCTGCGGGGAAAGTGAAAGCTCCATCGAAACCACCACTTTGCGTACAATATAGCACATTGTGTGCTCCACCTTCTCCTCTGGCTGCTGCTCCTGATCCTGCTCCTCATCCTGCTCCTTCTCGTCTACTTTCTCCATCAGCCTTTTGTGCAAATGAATTCGTTTATTTTGTAAAATGTCAATTGCTGTGCTGGCTTACAGGACAGGATAAGGGTGATATAAGGGAAATGGTGTGGGGGGTTGGCTAAGAGGACCTGTAGCAGATGGAGCAGGATGCTGGGCAGGAGGAACAGCCGGAGCCTGACACTTGCTGCGGTGTCGGGAGGTGTTTTGTCGTTGGTCGTGTGTTGTGTGCACTTTACGCTTAATGAAAGTCTCAATGATGTGTACCACACGGCGTATGCGTGACGCAATGCAAATGGGATTGCAGCCGCACAACAAAAATAAAAGCAGGGATTTATGTAACAGTGGATGTATTAAGACTATTAATGATGTTTTAACCAAGTGATAAAAAAAAACTATCTTTTATATTATATAACCAATGCACAGATATTGGAATCATTCCTTCCAAGGTTTAGTTTATCCTAAAAATAGCAAGAACTACTTCCAGGCATTATACATTTGCATTTCCAATCAACATTGTGTTTAACAAATTAAACATTTAGTGTCTTTCATTCAAAATAAATTGATTCCTTTGAGGCACATAAACCAATCTTAGTTTCTTGTTACATTTGTAAAATGTTCATCTTGTTCCTTTTCAATAGTAATCAGTAATCACTTAACTATAATTTATTGACAGTAATCAATTATTTATTCACCTTTGTAATTGTAACTTCAAAGCAAACCCTGACAATGATTGATATCTGGCAATTAAAAACTAGCAACTAACTCGACATTAAAGTAAATTAAAGGGTAAACTTTTATCTGTCGGCAACAGTTGCTGGAATTTAACTGCCAGCGGCAGGCGGAGGAGTCGGTTGCAACTGCAAAGTTCTTGTGGCAGTAAGCGAAGGACTAACAGCGAAATCCCGAATGCAATGTTCAGTTTAATGACAGCGGCAGAAGTTTTAATTCCTGCATTTAAATTGCAACTAATTTGGCGGCTCTCGAGACGAAGGATGAAATTTCAAATGCAGACGGCAGATGGGGGGAGGAGAAACACAAACAATTTGCATCAATGAAAGTGTCGGAGTTGTTGCTGTATCCAAGTCTGTTTATTTTATTTATTTCCAAAGGGAATTATTCATGCAATTTGTGCGGGACGCTGGGGCTGCTGGCTGGATTTTTGGATGGAGGATGCTGTAAATAAGGTGGAATATTTGCAACCACCGCTTCTGCTGCTGCTCCCTCCCAGAGAACATGGAACAGGGGAACCCTGCCTGACAACACGACCCTGTGTCTCAGCTCAGGCTTCACTCTCAGATCCGTGAGGGAGAGCTGCGGCCTCGCACTGGGGGTACCATTTGCCAAATGAAACTGCAA